AATTGTGAAATGTATGTGTCTTCTTAATCAAAACAAAGGATCTAATTTTAGTCACTATTTTAAATCAGTTACTTTATCTATACTGTTATTGGGAGAAGGATATATAAATGCATAGTGCAAATGTTAATGATTTGTTGTTGAGTCTATATCGATATGAATATTTGTAACTTAATAGTTGAAAGCATGAACGTTACATAGTTGAAAGCATGAATGTTTCAATGTCATTTATATAAATCAATCCAACAATTTCTATATCACGATGAAATGATCAATAACATGAAACATGAAAGAATGCTTACATCCATTTTCTACCTAATTCCTTTTTGTGTTTAATATCAAACACTTTAGATTATGCATTAACTTGTTCTTTTGAACATATATAAAATTTTCTAAAATGTCAAGTGAATGTTGAATATATCCCAATGATGAAGTACTCAAAATTCCATCCTCTAAAAATGCTTCAATATTTATCCCTAAATGTAGTCCTTCATGGATTACCGAATTTAATTAGATGGGTTATAAATATGGAATGAAGATGGTGGAGGTTTCCATATTTAACCTTGAATAAGAATCGGTTGTGTAATGAATGAAGATAGCGGAGGTTTGGCTGAAGGGAAAGCTTTTCCATGACTTGTAGAAGACTTCTTTGACTTGAAACAATCCACTTAGAGTATTTATCCTGAAGGAATAAGAATAAAATTAATTTTAATATAAAGTTTGATTTAATGAGATTATGAAAGAAATTTCTAAACCTTGCCAGCTGGAGATGCAAGAAATTTGAGTCGTTCGGATTTTGTGTGATCAGTAGCATGAGCAGCAAGATCAATCAAAGCACGTTGAAACAAATATGGAAACATTGGTTAATTTTAGCTATTGTTGCAATAAATCCAGACAAAGGGTAAACTGGGCATATACTATTATTCAAATAGAAAAGGTAACTGTGTTTGTTTACTTTATTCAAGAGTTGATCGAGACAGATGTCATATATGCACTTTAGGGGTTAGTTTTATTATCAGATGTATTTAAGTTTAATTCTAGACAAAAAGGTAAAATGGTCATTAACGGTTTGCTCACGGTTCATTTAGTTCAACAATTATGGGCTATTTTTAGCTATTGTCATTTGTTTTTCACTGTAATTTCAAACAAAGGGTAAAATGGTCATTTTTTTGTTATTCAACTCCTGCAAAAAAAAATTCCCTGATTTCGCAAATGCCAAAGAATTTACTTATCCAACCTATATGTATACAAGTTCATCAATATTAAAGCAGAATATCATAAAGAAGTAACTATTTTGTTGTAGCAATGTATTTGCATTTAGTTTTTTGTTATTGCATCTTATCTTAACTTTCAATTCTTTCTACTATAGCATTCTATTCTTTGGTATAATATGTTAGTCCTACAATGGAAAAAAAATCATGAAGAATCAACTCTTGATATTTTTAATCCATAGCAAGAAAATATATTATCAGACTTTAAAAGTGAAAAATATTTGGAAGAAAGGGGGAAAATGTCTCACAATTTGAAGCATTCTCTCTTTCCATGTATATTTGCACACATAACAAACAAAGAAACATGAAGCAATGCATTTTTTTTTTCTTTCCATGCACAAGCAAGTAAAATGAAATATTATTTATTTACACAAAAACTTTAAAAACGCAGCAAAAGTATTAAAAAAAAATATTATTTACACAAGAACTTCAAAAATCGGGAATAAATATAAAAAAATCACAAAAACTTGACCATCAATTACATTTCTCAAGCCCCATGTTCGTAAAACAAAAAGATTGTAGGCATCTATAGTCCAATCTCTTCCAATTTCCGTAAGAGTTCGCGAAGCAGAAACGCCAAAAATTAATTATGTTAAGGTAATCTTTTTTTAATAAACACTTCTCTCTGTCGATATAATTCACCATAAAACAAATATGATTTACAAAAAATCAATGAAGGGCAATTTTGTCATGTGTCTTCTCTCTCTCAACCACTTTTATATTTCTGCTAGAAATAACAATAAATGACAAATCTCAATTTCATGTAATTTTCTATAAATATAAATATACTATTATAATAACAAACAAATGAATTGATTAGGTATTAGTCTGAAAATAAAAAGTGAATATAGACAGAATCTATAATCTCTTCTCAACAACCACTTTATAGTTTGTCATTTTTTTAGATACAAATAAAAAAAATATTCAAAAAAGGTCCTAATGGAAACGTTTAGACTTTTAGTTCCAAGTTAAATCCTTTTCTCTTTGAGAGAGTTAGTTTTGACTGTTTCTTTTTATAAAGACCATTTTGCATTTGGACCAAAGTTAAGAAAAAAAAAATATAGAAGAAGACTCCAAACAGGGAATTTATACATATAACCCAAACCAATCAATTATAACGAAAATAGGATTAATTTGCCCTATCAAAATGAAACCAAGAACGAAAAAATATCAAATCCGTATAACATAACTTACCGCAAGTTGTACCAAGATCCTTATCAGAAAAGTGGTTGTGGCACTCTGGTAAAATTGCAAGATTAGGGCACAAAATTAGTAAAAATAAATACATAATAAGAGAGTAAAAGTGAAAAACAAAGAACCAAAAAGATAAAAACTAATAAAGAAATACAGAAAAAGTAAATTGTGGCCTACCAGGAGTCATTGGTGTTGAAATCGTGTAGCAAATTCGATTTCCTCATTATCCAAATGAAATGAAATAAATACCTGCAAAAGTGGATCATGAATATGGGTCAATCTGTCATCATAAGGTTCAACTCTGATTGAAAACCCAAGAGATAAAGATTGAATAGGTTTTGTAAACTTCAGACACGATCAAACGTATACATCCAAAACATATTTAGAAATTAAGAACCAAATAAAATGAATTTTCTTTCAAATAAGAAATGAGTTTACCCATATCAAATAATGGTAGCAATGGAACATGCAAATATAAATTGTATAAGTGAAAACATGTAGCAAAGGAACCTGAAAGAAAGAGTTGTTTCATGGTTCAATTTCGTTGGATCTAAAGTAGAAAATGAATCACTATGCTCTGACCGTTCTTCCTTTTGATCGTTCTCCCTGTTCATCAGCAATCTTTTATTCCGAATGGTCAAAAACAAAAAATTTTAAAATCAAAATACAAAATTAAACCTAATGTTTTCTTCTAATGGGAAGATACAAATTAAAGAAGCCAAGATCACCTACGAACCGAATTTGATCATTCTCCCAGCTTGTTCTTTCTTTCCTTCACCACAGTCGATTTCATAGTCTTCTTCCCAACTGTCTCCCAGCCATCATTGTTTTCCTCTTCAGTTTAGATTAATCCACTTAAATTGTTAGATATTAAGTTATTAAAAATGGTGATTGATTATTAAGAACAACTAAACTAGATTGTGATGAGATTGCCTTTTATTAAAAATATTTGAAGCATGTAATGCAGACATTTCTAGCATTATGTTAAAACTACTGAAATCTAATTCGAGTGGGTACTTTGTTTGTTTTCCTATATGTAATTTCAATAACTTGAACGCATATGAACATGAAACTTCAATCAAAATGATTTAACAATTTCATCAACAATTGAACTTGTTGACTTTATGTATGTCGAATCAGCAGAAAACATATCAATCAATAATCATCAACTTAACTTAACATTACATGTTGAGGTTGCCTAGAAGTATTCGATCCACCAGATGCCCATTGTTCATTCTTTTCCTCCTACAAAACCCAAACACAAAATAGCGATTCACTCTACATACCTAAACCATAAAAGCTCAATTTCACACTAACCTCATTCGTATGGGTATATGAACAATCAAACCTAGTATCAGGAAATGAAATTAAAATATATGCAAAAAACATAAGGAGCGATTAGAACCCTAACCCATCCACCGAGGAATGTGCTGACAATGACGGATGTCACATAGACAGGTGAGTGGTCGGTAGTGGTAATTGTATTGGACGGAGGTGAAGGTGGTATTATTAATTCCCTGTAATTGAGCCAAAGAGAAGTAAGAAAAAAGTCATATTCACAACAGGAATCGGAAATTAGGCAGAAAAACAGAGAGAGCAGTATGTGAAACATAACTGTAGTGATGGTAATAGGAAGCGATGTACATCTGTAAGCGCTACTTCGAAAAGAAAAACAAAAAAAAGTTAGCAGGATACCCATTCATCAATCACGTGTTACATACTCTGAAAAGAAATCACATAAATGGAACCCTAAATAAAAAGTCTAAATATATACCCATGGTCGCTCATATTCCCTTTGTATTCTCATGGCTTCCTCCAATCCTGATAATCTCTTCAAAAAAACAATGAATCGTTTTCTACCGTGGAATCTTTACATGAAATTGCAAATCATATAACTAAAACATTTGATTAAAGGGATTTCAACCATGAAAATACGTCTCATTTGATGCAAATAGACTCAACTACGCTAAGCTTACACCACCTCCAAACCCAGTGAAGAAGGAGAAATCAAAAACTTAGTTTTGGTTATTCTACCCAAGTGAAAATGAAAGAAAAAGGGATACCTTGACAATTTCACCACCTGCATATTTGAGTAGCCAGTGGAGATGGCATAGACGCTGGCGCGCTGGTGGTGATACACCGAAAGAAGAACCCCGACGCCTAGTCTCTCTCAGCCAGGAGATAACTCCGTCGTCAGAACCAAAATTGGAACCCGCTCGATGGTGAGAACCTAAATCGGAACCCGCTCATCCGTTGCGATGAGGTCAACACCTACGTTGCACAGGGCAGGTTTGCTGGCGGTGGTGTTTGTGACAGGTCGGATGCGGAAGCTTGAAGCTGATAAGAAAAAAGAGAGAAGAAGAGGGTACATAGTATCTTCTCTTTCGGTGATTGAGGCCTCACCGGTAATGGCATGAGTGATGGGAGATTTGTGGAAGAAAATGGCTTCGACCACGACTTCGCCAAGAGAGTGGTGGTGGAAGCCCTCTTCTTTAAAGCGAACCCCGCACCGGCTGCTAGATGAGACACATCGCACATCTGACGAAATCAGTAGACAAAGATGAAAATGGATATTGGATAAGGAGGCGGTGGAAGGATCACGATGATCAACACGTGTGTCCACAAACTATACAGATATCGACATAAAACGACCCTAAAGACGATTTTAACACACAAAAAAACACCCCACTTCATGAAAACAACAAAGAAAACAGAAGGACCATTCTTGCCAAATAACAGATAAGTTCACTATTCCTAAAAAGTATCCTCCTTTAATATATATATATATATATATATATATATATATATATATATATATATATATATATATATATATATATATATATATATATATATACAATCAAGGCAATTTATGGGCCGTAAAATACTATACTAAGGGGGTGTTTGGGTGAGCTTTTTGACTTCAAAAGTCCCTTTCGTAAAAATCATTATTGACTTATTACTTTTGCCAAAAGAAGTTTGAAAAATATGCTTGGATTAGCTTTTAGCTTTTTACCTTTTAAAACCCCAAAAGTTAGCAAAAGATAGCAATTTGTGACTATTGAAAATCGGGTATTTTCTTCTTACCCAAAAGCTATTCTAAAAGAACTTTTAGAGTTTCCAAACATCTTATTAAACTTTTTGACTTTTTCAAAAAGAAAAAAAATAAAAAGTCATTTTAAAAGCAAATCCAAACACCCTCTAACGACGACATTCTTTGGTTCTAATTATAAGTTTATCTTCGGTTCTAATTATAAGTTTGTTTGATTAGATAAAATGAGATGATAGACAAGTGAAATGAAATCCCTAATAAAATAAAGGGTTTAAGGATATTATAGGTTGTTTAAATTATTATTAATTATCTGACATCATTACAAATTAAATTTTAGTTATTTTATCTTTTTATTATCCTTTATAAAAAGTTTATTTTTTTTTATCTATAAACAAACTTGTTATATCAATTATTTTAGAATAAGTTTTACGCACAATCCTTGTGATTTAGGGTAGTCTATATATTTCGTTTAACACAAACGATCCCATGTCTTTGAAAACAGACTATTTTTTCCTCATTAATCTCATCGCTTTTGTAGTTGCAACAAACGCAATGTGCAAGTTAGTAAAGTGATGATGGAGAGGAGGAAAAAATAGTCTTTTTAAAGCGATGAGGATCGTGCATGTAGCACCCAGTTCCCGATACATATTTTTCATTCACATAATTGCATGTTTTGCACTGTGAGTCGATGAGTTAGAGGCCCTACTCGTTGAGTAGACTGGATTATGGTGGCGGGGTTTAAGTAACCTACTCGATGAGTCGGGAAACCGACTCGACGAGTAGGACTACCTGGAGGAAACCCTAATATTGAGGGTTTTCACCATATTTAAACATCTTAACTGGTTTCCTTTACAGCCTCCAACACCCTCAGATCACCCTTACGAAACCCTAATCGATTTTTGAGTAACCTTGAGCTTTTGGTGCCATTTTATGTGTGTTAGAGGCTTAAGAAGGAAGAGTATACTTGGAAGATCAAGCGAAGGCTAGTATATCCAGAGGTTTTGTTTCATTTCCACCTCATTCAAGGTAAAAAAAGTTTCAACCTTGACTTCCCATTTGATAGATCTTCTCTAAGTGTAACGTCCCAAAAATTCAAGCCCGAAAATTTCATTTTTAAATTAACAATTCCATAAACATTTTACCAAAATATTGTCAAATGAACAACAAGTCATAAAATCATATTGTTGTGTCCCAAAACATAACGTCAAAAGTAATAAAAATTAGAGTACAGTCCCAAAAACTCCTTGCGGAAACCATGTGTGTGTGTGATGTGCTGCTACACCGCCGACTCCTTCCCCCTTCGACGAAGAGGTACCTAAAACCAAAGCCAAAACTGTAAGCACAAAGCTTAGTGAGTTCCCCCATCATACCACATACCATACAATATCGTTGGTATCTTTCAACCGGTAACCTCCAGCGGTATCTTTCAACCGGTAAGCATCATCGGTATCTTTCAACCGGTAATCAACATCGATATCTTTCAACCGATATCCGTCATCAGTATCTTTCAACCGGTAACTGAGGACTATTTCACCCCTACCACTAGAAAACAATCAACATATATAAACATACAGTCAGACATATCCGGGTACTGACCTACCATTGGGTCCTAAGGAGCACTGTTAGGAAAACTAATCCCTACTATACACATAACGTATCATCCAGATAAATCTCATAACCAACACATAACCAGACCAAGATAATTATCACAAAGACCATTATCTTCTAAATACCCCTTTTTGGTGGGCCGACATTGTGGCCTTAGACCCACCCCTAATGGAAGGTAACTCACCTCAATGTCGTACAATGTTTGAATTATCCTCGATGTACAATTCGACTCCCTTCGACTCCTCGATCCCTACACGACAACCTTCAAGTCAACACACAACACGTGCAACCCTAAATAGCGTTAGTCCAAGTCTAGTCAAAGTCAACTTCAAGTTGACCCAACTCACCGAGTTGGGCCGTCAACTCATCGAGTCCCTCACATTTATTCGTCCTCAACCATGACCCGACTCGTCGAGTTGGGCCGTCAACTCGATGAGTTCCTCTCTCATATGAACATTGCATGAAACTCATCCGACTCGCCAAGTTAATGAACAACTCCTCGAGTTCACCTTCAACTGATGAACAAGTTCTGTCCTCGACTCACCGAGTTGATGAACAACTCATCGAGTTCATCTTCATCCTAAGAAGATTGCCTTGGACTCGCCGAGTCTGTTCTAGTACTCGTTGAGTCCTATGAACTCCAGGTCTAAAATCACGTCCAAAGCATTGGGTAACTCTTCCTGTCCGGTTACAAACCTTCTAACACTCAACTGGGTTCCTTTGACCCTCAACAGATATGGGGCTCAAAGCCTCGGACTCATCGAGTCCAAGAACGGACTCGTCGATTCGGTCATGTCCACACTCTAATTCTTTGATTTTCGATGTACAAACTTTGATCAAAAGATAGATCCAAGCTTCTACAATCGATCTAGCATGTAAAGTTACAAACTTTACGTGCTTGCATGGGACTTTGAGCTCAAAAAGTCATAAAACAAGCTCCTATGATGCATGGGACCTTTCATGGGTGCAAAAGCAACCGAAATATGCCTAGTGACTCCTTTAATGATGTGATTCAGAAGCCTTAACCCCTAACCAAGTTTGCAAACATGGTTGGCCACCAAAAATGGCTTATAAAAGCCCTAAACCTCCCCAAAGAGGGATCTAACAAATGAATGAGTAAGGTTACAACTTTTTTCCTTCAATGAGCTGTAGAAAGTGCACAAATTCGGGTTCCCTTGGCCTATACTTGCTTCCTCAAGCTTTTCTCCTTCCTTCTTAAGACCACACGCACCAAAATCCACCAATAAGGCTTAGATTGCTTCAATAACGGCTAGGGTTTCAATGAGAGGTGTTTTGGGAGCATAAGGGATGTTTTGGTTGACATAACGTTGTTTAAATTGGGTGCAAACCCTTGGATTATGGGTTTTGTCCTAACAGCGGCTACTCGTCGAGTCCGGGACCCGACTCGCCGAGTCCATCGCTTAAATCCCGCATCCTATCTCACTTTTACTCAGCGAGTTGGTCCTTCAACTCGCCGAGTCCAAGGCCAAAAATGGAAAATACTTAGATAAAAATAAAATAAAAGCATACCAAGAACTAGGTGTTACACTAAGGCTTAGATCTTGTCATTTTTAGGGCATTTCTAAAGCACATTCGGGTTTAGAGTGTAATGTGGAGTGCTAACTTCAGATCTGGAACCATTGTGGGTTCCTATGGCATAATGGTGCCAACTTTATGGCCATGAGATCCCCATGCACCTTATAAACCCCATTTTAGAGCCTTTTGAGCCAAAACCCCCATGCATGGACACTAAGTTCGTAGCTTTACGTATAATATAGACCCTATGAGGTTAGATCTATAATTTGGATGCATTAAGACCCATTGAAATCGACTGTATAGTTTTGGACAAAGAGGGACTCGATGAGTCGGGTCGTATTTCCCATCAAACCCTTCTGTTAATGGACCAGGTGTTAAGACAAAAGAACACTCAGCTGTCCGGGCTCATTAGGGGCCTGGAAATCATAGAACTCGGTGAGTATATAAACTAACTCGTCGAGTTCAAGGCAATGTCCCAACCCCATGATGACGGACTCGATGAGTTCATGGAGAACTTGGCGAGTCATAGACTAGACACCTTCATTCGGATGAAGATGACCTCGACGAGTTCTAGGATGAACTCGACGAGTCGGTTGAAGAAGGTCCCGATGTTTTGGTTGAAGAAGAACGCATCGAGCTCTTACTAGACTCGACGAGTAGAATCAGGGGTTAAGCATTTTGTAGAAATGGGGACTCGACGAGTTGGTGGACCAGCTCGGTGAGTCGAGTCAACCAGATGTTGACTTTGAGCAAATTTATCTTTGACCTTGACTTTGACTTGGACTTGAGTTGACCCTTGTAAGGGGTTATGAGTATGAAATGGTAATCAAGAAAGGTTGTTGTGTAGGAATTTGAGGAGTTGCGACGAGTTGATTTCCATACCAAGGACGAAGCAGACAATACAAGACATCCAAGTGAGTTACCTTCTAGTAGAAGTGGGTCTAAGGCACCATGACCGACTCACTAGTAAGAGTTATAGTTGAGATGATTGTCTTTGTGATGTGTTGAATATTTTAGTGTTGCGTTTTGGGCTATTTGTTTTGTAATCGGATTGGGCTTATCCATTCGTAGTTATCTAGAGTAGTTTCCTTTATCTAGATAAGTTGTTAGGGTTTTATTATAAATATATGCATACATGTATGCGTATATAACAGAATAATCGTTCGCGTTGATTATTCTAACCCTAATATTTACCTCTACAGATTGAAGTTCTTAATCGAGCTCTTCTGGGGTATTTTGCATTAATCATTCGACATATTCATTGGAATACTTGTGTTCTTATCTACGTTCTTGTTTATATTCTGCTTAGAATCATACGATCCTGATAGAACTTTGTTCTAAC